GACATGCATGAAATGTCGGGGGGGGGGGGGGGGAACGACCTTCTTTGTGGAGAGCAAGGAGCTTACTGTGTAGACAGAGAATCACTGGAGGTTTGTAAGTGTTATAGTTAAGTTATACAATACCTGGAATACTAGATAAGTAAATCACCTATTTATTATTAAAATATTCCAAATTAGATACAAAGGGGAGTGTTCAACTATCCTCTTAAGGGTTCCCTTCTTGGGTGCCAGCAGTTTTCCGGGAAGACAAATGGCTTGGGTCTGATAGATCACAGTGGTCTTCTGGTGACAACCACTGCTGTCAGAGCTTTTGACAATGAAGAGAAACATGTCAAGCCTTTCAAGACAAAATATCCACATCTTTGCGAAAGCAGCAGACAAGCAAAACCAAATCAGAGAAGGCAGAGGATGAGAAGTAACGGTGGAGACAACATGAAGCATTATAACAACATTTGCAATTTGAGCTCTTTCCTTATTTAGTCCAAAGAACTTTGCATTGATCTTTTTATTTTCTGGGCCTAAATAACTGTAGTGAGAATCCACCTATGTTAGGATTGCACACCTGGATACATGTAGACAAAGAGCTAATAGGTATGAAGCAATATTGTTATGTCTATCCTAGGCTCCTGATTTCCTTAGATTTGTTAAGGTATCTAAATGCTAACTGCCTCTCTGGCTACAGAGTGAGAGGGGCATCATCATAGTACAATAGGGATGGGGGTACTGAAACATTCTGGAAAGTTCCATCAAGTTTTAAAGAGATGGTATATGTAGCAACAAGAGCAATTTTTCTGCCACAGGCAGAGTGCAATCCTTTGAAAGATGGTAGAGAAGAACTGTGTCATGTGTTTGAGTGCAGTTGGGACCACTGTGGGAGGACAGTAAAAATGCTGTGGCTAATGGATCTTGGTTAGGCTAGCAGAGAGCCAAAGCTGGATGCTGAGCTGACCGGTAGAAGAAAAGTCTCTCAGCTTATTGACATTGTGCACGGGTAAGTACCCAGAGAAGAATTCTCCTTTTCAACAATTTTGCAATGAAGGAAGTAGGGTGTGCATACAAGGCTGCATGAGCAACATTAACACTGGCATTTATTGATACTTTATAGTGGATATGAAGGGTTTTTGTTTTTTAATATATAAACTATACATAACACTGCAAAATGAAACAGCTTGTCTGCTTAGGGTATGACACTGTAATTGCTACATGCTAAGATTAAAAAGCCTGTGTGGCATTAAACTAACTGAACTTCTCCCAATTTAAGAAGAAAGGGCTAGTACTAACAAACTTTAAGTAATCTTGGTAGTCTACATTCAACCTCACAGAAGCCAAGAAATGTGATATTAAATCCATAAGTTACTTGCTTTAAAGAGGAAAAAACAAACAAGTGAAGACACCTGAAAAGACTTTTCCGTAATATTTTATCGATAAAGCAAGAACAGAAATTAAAAATCCTTATGAAAATAATGAACAGGTCAAACTTTTTTTTGACTTTTTGCTTTGTTTTCTTCAGAATAAAAAGGCACTTGCCACAAGTGTTCAGTTGCTCTTTCGACTGTATGGGAAATAGGAAAGATCTATTTAGATCTATTTACTGATCTTGTCTCTGACTTCTATAGTTCTGATGTTTTTAATTAAGCAGAAGGAAAAAGAGGTCGTGTTCAGAGATTGTGTTAAATTTTTAGTTCAAGTCATGGATTCTTATTACAGCAGACACCAAATAAAGCTAGTCTCTGTAATGTAATAGTTTAAAGATGTCAGACAGACAGAAGCAGTTTTGTAGTAAACTGCAAACTCATTTCCAGTAAAGATTTTGGTAGAAGGAAACTTGGCTTGTGCTGTTGGGTAGGAACCTAAAGACAACATACATCACTTTAGTGAGAATAAAGTGTAGCCTTAGAAAATATGCACATCAGCACAGTTTAAGTGTGAAATACAATGGAGGATGTTGAAGTATAAAACCTCTTCACTAGTCTAACACTTCAACTTTTAACAGGAAGCCCCAAAGCCTGATTTCAAATATCATAAGAATGAGCATACCATCATCTAGTCCACTATGCCCAGATCAGATCAATAGTTCATCTAGTCACTATGCCCATCTATGACCACATCAAATACTGGATCCCTCAAAAGATGGTGCAAGAAACCCTATTCTGGAAAATGATGAAATAAGCTGCATGAAGGGAAGATTTCTTCGTAACAGCTAATCAGCTAGATATATACCCTGAAGCATGATTTATAGCCTAGTTTTTTATGCTATCCTGTATTATCCACAAATGTCTAATTCTTGAGTCCAAATAAGCTCTTAAGTCTCAATGGTGTCTTGTGGAAATGAGTTCCAGATGACATCTGACCAATTTATATGCAAACAGTTGAAGCCAGATATTTAGTTTTACTGGTAGCTGAAAGCCCATGCTGTCGTACACATGTAATTCATAAAGTCACATGTGTAAAAGAGCCAAAAATAAATGAGAACTTAAAAAATGGACAAAAACTGACCACGAATCTGAGTGATGACTGAACCCGGTGATATTCTAAACGAAAAGAGCTCTCAACCACATGTGTAGTAGCTCTTTCCATCACTTCACTCTGACTCAGATATTCTAGGCTTCAGAGCAATGTTTGGGATTGTGCACGCTGGTTGTGTTGATCCGGTGGGGGAGGGAGGTGCGGAATGGATGCTGAGAGATCTTTGTTGATCTGTGCAAATGCATAGGTGGGCAGTTAGGCCAAGTGATCCACCACATGTGCAATCTACTTTCATACAACTAATGAAACTGTTGCATACAAATCAGCTGTGCAGTAAGGGTGGAAACTGATTGTGTTACCTCTGAAATCACAAAAATCTAGGACAGTTGGCATGGCATAGATACAAGCCTTGGTGTGCACAGATGTAATTTATAAAGCCAAAATGGCTGAGAAATTAAAACTGGACAGTAACAGACCTCAAATCCCAGCAATTATTCAACCCAGTGATATTCTGAACAAAAAGAGCTCTCAACCATGCCTGTAGCCACTCCCATCGCTTCATGCTGACATTTAGGCTTCCGAGTGACACAGAGTGATGTTCCTGAAATCTTATTATACAACTTACTTATTTGCCTCTGAGCTCTTCATAACTGTGCCCCCAATAACCCTTCCCTGATCTGGAGGCTTGTAGTATAACCCTACTAGAATATTTGTGTTTTTATGACCCGCAATTTAAATTCAAACAGGTGTACTGTGTAGTCTTCTCCATTCAGGAATTCTAATTGGATTAGGTGAATCTTTCTGGTATAGCGCTATTCCTCACCTTTATTAACTAATGGTTTTTTTTCCCTGTGTAATTGGGTATTACAACAGCACATTTGTCATTCTACCATATTTCAGTAGTTTCTATTTTGTCAAGATTTTCTTTCATTACCAGGGTAGTATAAATGGACAACAAGAACATGATCTAACTGCAAGCTAGGACCTATAAAAATCTATTCATGCTAAATTTGGACCATAATAGTCTTGCAGTTGGGAGAAATGTGTACTACATATAAATTTCCCTGTCCAATAATTATGATGCTGAAATAATTTTTCCATTACAAGATACTACTGAAACCACAAACCTCTCACCTTTACACTGCAAGTAGAAATAAAGAAACTAAGTATGGGATCCACCAGCATTCAAAGAAAGGAGAGAATCCTGGGTGGTTTGAGGTGAGAACTTTGATGCTCTCTGAGGCACCTGTCCATTTCCCGAGATACACCATTTCTAGGTTGCCCTACAAAGGTATAAGTGCCACTCATCAGCACGGATGACTTTTTATAAAGGAACCTTGCTTTCCCATCCACCCTTTCCTGGCTTTTGAATATATACACTGAATATTGGTGCAAGATTTGTACTTCAGTGTTTAAAAAAAAAAAAAAAGGACACTTGACAGTGTTAATTCTAAAAACAATCTTTGTTTTCAATGCAGCCTTTGTTGTAGCCTCTAGGTTTTAGGTATTGGAGGTTGGTTCTTTTTGGTTTTTTAACATCAGTGCTGCTTACTAAAATCAGTGACTCCCATAACTCAAAGCTTTTTCTTTTCTTTTTTTTAAGTGAAGCTCAGCAGAGCCATTTGCTTCACAAGGCACTGTGCTCTGAAATGTTTTCTTGTACTAGTTACCTGTGCCCAATGTTCATTCAGGAAAGTTCAAAAGTTGACAATCTTTTAGAACTTTTACTAAAGCAGCAAACATGCCTGTATGGCATCCATGCCCTTCCCCATGTTTAAATAAAAACAGAATAATGGGGGGTAAAATGTCAGCAAACCTTGTGACGAGTCCCTGAATCTCCTATTTTAATGGCAAAGCATCTTTGTCTGGTATCTCCTTCTGCCCAAGAAGATCCTCAACTCAGAGGCAACAGGCTGGGATTTAGGGTAGCCCAAATAAAATGTTCACACTCTTCTGTTATGAAGGAAATTTACCACCACCACTACTCCCAACCCCCATTTTTAGCTCTATACACATGGGCAAACAATGCATTCATCCTCAGATGGAGCCAAATATGCTATTCTCCTACCAATCACTAAGGTAAAAAAAGTGATTGGCGTCTGATGAAGTGGGCATTCACCCACGAAAGCTTATGCTCCTATACTTCTGTTAGTCTTAAAGGTGCCACAGGACCCTCTGTTGCTTTTTAAGGTAAAAAAAGTTATCCAGGATGAACCTCTTCACTCCCTCCAAGAGAAGCCATTAGTTGAGGAACTTACAATACCCATCATTCCAACTAATCATCCCACCTGTGACAGTGGGATCACCGCCTGCCAAACCAGTGGGCAGGCCCACATAAGACCATATTTTGGGTTACCTTTAAACCAGCTACTTCTGGAGAGTAACTTCATGTGCCTGATTTAACTCACACTAGCACCACAAATCTGATAAACTTAGATGGTGTTTCAGATAATGAAGGTTTGTGGGAGAGTATAAAGGTGGCTAAACTGTTTGGCAGATTATAAAACAAGAGTCTCAGATTCATGCACACTTACTTTTCTTACAATAGGTTGCTGCCCCTCTACACAGCCATACCAGTTCACTAGCTTATTCCAGGCTTCAGTGGGAACCAACACATAATCCAGCTCATCAATGAGATGTTCTTTTAAGGTCTGTATTTCTGGATCTAAAAAGGAAGAGAGAAAAAAAAAAAAGTGAGATTTGAGAAGTGGGATAAACCAGAAGTTCTTCATGTTTTAATGGTGTTCCATACATTCTATAAAATGTAAGATCTCCAGGACATGCAAATCAAAGTGTTCTTAGCCCTTTGGATGTTGGCTAAGATTGTGAAGTTTCATACTGGGAGCTATGAAAGGTAGAAACTCGGGACAAATTCTGTATTAATTCATTAAATGTCAGCAGTATCTTTAATGCTGAACAAGACATGGTCCTCTCCCAAGAGTCCTCCTTACTCTGACAGTCTCAGAAAATAACTGAAGTATAAATGGAAAAGTTAATTAAAATCCATTATTTAAACTGACGCTTTCCACTGGATGATTTAAATCACTGAATTCAATTGCTCTGATTAAATCAAACTGTCCCAGCTTGGCATTGTGTCTTAGGATCTGGTTGTCAATTAAAGGAAGAAAATAAGTTATGCAAGCCCTGGGAAATGTCATTACAAAAACAGAGGCAACAGGATCCCAGAAAATCTTAATTGCCACAACAGCCACCTCAGAGGCCTTAAGTGCCACATGAGATCTAAATGATGAACAATCTCCCCCTGCCAGTCTGTGACAGTGCTGCACCACATTCTGAAGAAAATGATATTTCTATGGCATTATCAACTACAAGATGACACAGTTAACTTTCATTGTTATTAAAATATTTAAAAAAATGCAATGCAGAATGAACTAGCCTATATTATTCATTTGTGCTACAACAGAGGATAGTTCTCTTGTGAAGCTTAATAGCCATGACAGGATGGGAGCCTTTGTATTATGCGGCCAGCTGAGAAAGCGGAAGCCAAGAAAACCAAACAATAAGAAGGGCTGAAGCACTATCTTGGACGAATTTGTGATGGGACATAAGATTCTTGGGAGCTCCACATAGCAAGCCCCTTTCCATGCTATGAGTCTCCCAAGACACACAGGTGTAAGTCCTCTTACAGCAGAGGACATGATATATCTTGATTTTAGTAAGGCTTCTGACACAGTCCCACATGACAATATCATAAGCAAACTAGGGAAATGTGGTCTAGATGAAATTACTATAAAGTGGATTCATAATGGGATGAAAGACCATACTCAAAAAAGAGTAGTTATCAATAGTTTGCTGTCAAACTAGGAGGGTGTATCTAGTGGAGTCCTGCAGCGATCAGTCCTGCATCCAGTACTATTCAATGTTTTCATTAATGACATGAATAAGGGAGTGGAGATTGTGCTCATAAAATTTGTGGATGATACCAAACTGGGAGGGGTTGGCAGCACTTTGGAGGCCAGGATTAGAATTCAAAAGGATCTTGACAAATTAAATAACTGGTCTGAAATCAACAAGATGACATTCTATAAAGTGTGAAGTACTACACGTAGAAAGGAAAAATCAAATGCGCAATTAAAAAAATGGGTCATAACTGGCTAGGTGGTGGCCGAAAAGGTGCTGAAAAGAACTGGGTGAGGTAGTGGATCATAAATTGAATATAAGCCAACAATGTGATACAGTTGTGAAAAAGGCTAATATTCTGAGGTGTATTAACAGGAGAGTCATATGTAAGACACAGGAGGTAATTGCCCTGCTCTACCTGGCACTAGTGAGCCTCAGCTAGAGTACTGTGTCCAATTCTGAGCACACACTTTAAGAGAGATGGGCATAAATTAGAGAGAGTCCAGAGGAGAGCAACAAAAATGACAAAAGAAAACCTGACCTATGACGAAAGGTTTAAAAAAGGGGGGGGCATGTTTACTCGGGGGGAGGAGGGGAAGAGAGTAGGGACCTGATAGTCTTCAAATATGTGAAGAGCTGTTATAAAGAGGGTGGTGATCAATTGTTCTCCATGTCCACTGAAGGTAAGACGAAGTAATGGGCTGAATCTATAGCAAGTGAGATTTAGGTTAGATATTATGAAAAACTTTCTAACTAATGTTAGATAAGTTCTGAAATAGATGTCCAAGGAAGTGTGTGGGATCCCCATAATTGGAGGCTTTTAACACAGGTTGGACAAACAGCTAACAGGGATGGTCTAGGTTTACTTGGCCATGCCTAAGGACAGAGTCCTGACCTGTGGAAGTCCCTTACAGCCCTATATTTCTATGATTCCAATAAACTGGTAAGCAGACAAGCTGAGGAGTTGGAAAATGGTTATTTCCAGATTTATTATGGAGCAGCTGCTAGTCAGATCATAATTAAGGTTGTGACATTGCTGTTTAAAGCTGAATTTTCAACGTGTTCTAAAACCACATGCACAATCAGATCTTTCCCTGCAGGGATGCCAAGAGGAACTGGGAACATTACAGTACCTTTCCCAGCATTAACAAGAACTACTTTTTTGGGGAGCCCTCCAATTCAGGATTCCTATTCACACGCTCCAACAAACCTTTAACATGCTCTGTACAGCACCACTGATTTGTCAAAATACTTGTTGTGGTTTGAATGAGATCACACTGCGCTAGAAGAGGAAAGGGTAATAAAGTACTATTATGTTCCAAAGGAACACTAAACTGCAGGGAAACCTAAACTGAGCATTTCCTCATTCTCCCGCTCCCTTCCAATACTTGGGTTTTGCATTTTGAAGTCCCATGTTTTGGAAGGAGAAGGCAGTACCTGTATGCTGCAGAAACATTAACCAAATTTTTATGGCAAAAAAGTTTATGTAACACTAGGGCAGAAAAATTATTATACAATTTGTACCACCACAAAAATTATTCACACATAGTATCTACAGACAATCATCAGCTGCATCTACGGACAACCAAGCAAGCATTGCAGAACAGAAGCAGTGTTACCACTGGTTTCCACTCAGCCACTGACTGTATTTTCTAATTAACTTCTAGTATGTTCATTTCCCCAAACACTTACCAAGGCACTGCAAGAAGTTAATTAAGTCCCAAACACAGATCCAGGAGAACTGGTTTGTGAGTCAGATCAAACTCAGCACTTAAAGCCATCACAAACTAACTCTCACAGAAGTTTAGAATTGAGCTTCACCCAGAAGGATCCACCAGTGGACTTTAAGGGGGAGAGAATTCCAAACTCACAGTCTCTCAGTGGAAAAGACAGCCTCATTGCTGTTGTTCCATAAAGGTTTGATGCACACATGGAAACCAAGAGTCTCTTTCCTGGGGCCAGTGGAGTCCAGATATATCTTACTAATGACCTGGTAGGGTGCCTGCCACAGCAATCTCCATGCCAGTCAATTGACAAAGCAGCACTAACAATGGCTTCAAAGTAGATCGCACATTCGTAGCATCACAGGAGCAAGAGCATAAAGAGTGCATTATATCACCTGACAGAAGATCAGCAAGAATTCAAAAGCCCCTTATCCCCTGCACCAGACACACTAGCCTAGATCTGGTCTAGGGAACACAAAAGAGAACTTTATAGCATATTTTGTTCATTTTTCAGAACATTAAGTCTGAAAAGAAAGTTTCCTAGAGTTATCAGAATTCTGTATCAAGCTAAGAGTTCATTGAGTCTAATCCAACTATCAAAACTCAAACTGGACATACATTTCTGCTTCCAGGTGCAACTTTTGAAAGTTTTCTATTTCAGTTTCTATTTACAGTAAAGTTGACTGTCTCCAGACATTTACAGAATTTCATGTCAGTGTGTGGGAGGGAAGGAAGTAACTTCAGGCTAGGGTGTGGAGAAATGGTAGAAGATGATTATAATGTTTCCAGCCTTCTCAGAAAACAGAAATTATTCATCCTTAACTTCACTCATCTGTGCTCAACCTGAAATCCTTTTCCAGCACATCATGATAAGAGCCCAGTCTGGCCAAACCCATTATTGATATTCCATTATTTCACGCTCCCTCTGGACTATACGCTGTGCCCCTCAGAAAGGTTAGTGGGTTTTGTTTTTGTGAGCGCAGGGAATGAGAAGAGAAGCTAAATTGTAGATTTTTTCAGTCAGATGGTGTAAGAGCTAAAGGACACACTTTCAAAAACTGCTAAGAGCTCCTAGATTCTCCTTCTCTGCCAGACACAAATAGCTGACCAGCTATTCCGTGCACCTTAACTGCATGCATTTTACCTGCAAAGAGTCCAGAGTTATCGATGGGTCCAGGAAACAGGTTAGGCTCACCCACGTTGTACATGTCCCAGCTGTCAAAACCCACATACTTCTTCCACTGTTTGAACCACCGACTGTCAATCAAATACCTGGAACACAGTTTGAATAGCAAGATGTCAGGAGCAGCTTTCAGCTTGTACCAGCCAGAGCACATACTACAACGTCGATCTCGCTGGAGGAGGAATAGCTGGTGCAGGTGCATAGGAACCCTTGCAGCTAAGAAAGCCCTGGGAGCAGAGGCCACTCTAGGCTAAGGCAACCCAGCTGTGTAGGGCAGCAGATTATATTCACGGATGGGAGGCCTGTCAACAACGCAGAACAGATCTTAGTGCTAGCCAGGCCTCTTGTCCTGCTCTGTGTAGTGCTGCATGCCGGCCAGGTCCAACTCTGCCTTGTACCCAACCCTTACCTATAACTGGCTGCTGAAACAGCAGGAGCAGCTTGTCTCAGAGCCCTCTCAATGGCAGGGACTGGCTAGATCCAGGACACAAGAGACGCATCACCCAAGGGCCAAGGGCTTGCCAGCAGGGAAGGAAAAGGACGGGTTGGGAGGCAGGAGCTCTGGGAGGGGAGGCTAGCATAGTAAAAATAAAAATGAATACACACTTGAGTATTTTAACAAATGAGCAGCAATATGACCTAGTGACCGAACTAGACGACTAGCTAAGTAGTTGGGTCAACAGAGCCCTGTTCCCAGCCTTGACTCACTTTGCAATCTTGGGAAAATCATTTAGGCAAATATGTCCAAAATGTCCACTAACCTGGGAGTGCCTCAGTTTTTTGTTGATCAACTTGGGTCAGCTATTGCCAGGTTTTTGGAAGTGCTGAAAACTCATAACTCCAACTGACTTCAGCGGGAGTTTCTGATGCTCAGCCCCAGTAAGTAGGCCACCCAAAAACCAAGGCACTCTTGATGAGTAGACACTTTTGAATATTCAGCTCTCAACCTCTTTTTGCCTTAGTTTCTCTGTCTGTAAAACTTTGAAAGTAATACCTCCTTCCCATTATAATCACTTTGAGAATCACTGATAAAAGGTGCTATTTCATATAGTAACTTGTAAATAGATCATCTTTAATTCATGTAGTGTTAGTTATGGTTCCCCCTTCTCTTCATTAATGTCTGTATAATCTTGACAAACTGGATAAGGTAGTTTAATGAGAAACTACTGATTTTTGTTGTTGGACACCACCACAGGCTTTGAGTGGTACAAGCTCGGCAAGCAATTGTTTCATCTTCAGTGCTCTGGATCACTCCAAACTCCACTGAAATCAGTAGTGGGCCTCAAATGTAAAAGCAAGGGGCATGGGACAAGCTTTTCATATCAGATTTCATATTTGTCTGAAAAGTGCTTCCCATGCTTTCAGTGCTAAATACAGAAAATAAATAAGATGAAAATGTATTGCTATGGAAACAAAGTAGATAAATTCTTTTTAAAAAACTGAAGATGTAAAAACTGGCAAAGAGATAAAAACAAAGACAAAATATTAAAGACATGTTTGAACTTCCCATATGGAAGGATAGCAACAGAAATTTCTCATTTAGACTACGTATTCCCTTTTGGAAGGGAAATAATTGGCATTTGCACATTGTATCTCCTATGAGTTTATTTCATTTTTTTCCTCGCTCAATAGAACAAAGTTTCCACAACGATTTACATACCAGGTTTATATTTCAAGTTTTTCTAATGGTGCGATTTTATTTTATTTTTTTTTGTTTAACCTACCAATGACATCACTCCCCACATTGGAGCAATTATCTGTAAGCAGGGTCTGAACTCACCTCTGAAATCTAGTGGTGAACTGGGGGAAAAAGACTTAAGGAGCAGACCATATTTGCACAAACACACCTACTCTGCTTAGGTAACCTGCAGACAGACCTGCTTTGGTCCCTTTGGCATTTCTGTTTTGGGTTAAGATTCACTTTACTATTGAATGCAGGAGTAATGAAATATTATTGTATGAGCAAAGGGCAGCATAGCTATACATAGCATGCCCTAATTGAGGGGGTCATCCTAATACCAAGTCCAGTTGCTAAGCAGGGGATAATGATTCCACACCTAAGTAAAAAGGCAAAGGTAGTGCAGACAAATGTTCCTACTTGGTGACATGGACTCTGTTTAACAAGACATTTAACATTTGACCATCCCCTCCAGTGTTTAAAGACAGAGCTGATCAGACTCAGTTTAGAGTCCTTGTTTCTGCTCTGTAATTAATAGAGCTGAAATCACTGATATGTTGATCTAAGGGAAGCTGGTCTTGGACTGGTGGGGAGATAGTATTTCCATGAAAAGACAGTACAAATAGGCAGCAGCAGAGACTCCCAGTTAAATCACTAAGAACTGGGCTGACAGAACCACAGAATCACAGCTAGAGCCAGTAGTGAGCAATGGCCCTCTGCACAAAGAATCCCACCCAAACGCAGAGGTAGCATCTACACTAAAGCATGGCAACAGGGCAGCAGTAGCGTTTTAAGGGTAGACAAACCCTGAGTGTTATGAAGTCCTGAAGAGCTGAATGAGCAGGTTTAAGTATTACACATTTAACGAGGGGACCCACATTAGAAACCTGCAGTAGGACGCATGTTCCTGTGGCTCCGCCACTGGTGACTCAGCCACTTCAGCAGCCAGAGCAAAGGCCCACACGCACGTGATGCCTCCCAGGAGCCGAGGCTCGCCTTATTGAGCCACCGGCTCCACCGTTACAGCAGGGCACAGAGACCCACACACCAGGGCATGAGGCCGGAAAACACCCCCAACTCCCCACTCAGCCTGCCCCCCTCGGTCCAGCTCCGCTCCCGCCTCACACACACACCTAGCTCCGTTCCCCGGCCCCACTCGCCCCCCTCCGCCCCGGCACGGCTTCTCACTGCCGGGAGCAACCCTCCTCTCACCAGGACTCGCCCGGCCTCAGAGCTATCCCTAGCAGCGGCCCCAGCTCTGCCCGCTGGGCCCCGACGTCCGGCCTCGGGCCACCATCTAACTCCGCCGCCATGTCCGTGCACCCGGCGCCCCCGCCCTGCAGCGGATATCCGGCCTGGCTGCACCGGCCAACGTGCGCAGGCGCACTGCCTGCCTGCCTGCCTGCCTCCCTCCCGCCGCAAGCCGCCCGGGCTCCAGGCGCCCCTGGCAGCGCAGCCCGTCTGCGGGAGGCGGGCTCCGCGCGCAGCCAAGAAACCCGGAGGGCTGGCTGCTTGACAGAACGTGCGGCTTGGCTGGTACTGAGCATGTGCAGTAACGGCCACTGAGACCAGTGCCCTCACTGGGCATTAAATCCGCTCCCTGTGGTATTTATTTGGGGGTGTGCATAGTCCTCTAGCCAAGCAATGGCATCTTCAGGGGCATGATGCATTCTTCTAGGCCACCACTGAACCTAGTCAGCAGGCATTCCTCGATGATGTGCGTCATTGTCTGTGTTGCGCCGCAGCTGCACAAAGGGCTGGCGCAAAGGCCCCAGTGATACTGGTTGGCTGTGCAGAAACCTTGGCTCGTCCGGAACCTGTTCAACAGGGACCATTGGCGACAGGGCAGGTCGAAACTAGGCGGGCAGATTGTGGGGTCGGCGACGAGGGACTGGTTGGGGATTATAACAGTTATCCATTCCTCTCGCCAGAGTGTTTCTGCCCTAACATCCTGGCATGGCGGATGAGACCATAATGGGCAACGTAACGGCAAACGTGCAGCTAGTGGTTTAAAAAGGTCATTGTGCAGCAGCAAGCTTGAGTCGGTGTGTACTTTCTCCATTAACTTGGCAGTGGCAACCTCTCGTCTGATATGAGGAGGAGCAATATTGCTCAGAACTGGAAGCCATCGGATTGGAGTCGGACGCAGGGTGCCAGAGGTGATACGCATGGCGGCATGTAACTGCATATTCACCAGCTTGGTGTGTGACGATCGACTCCAAACTGGTGCACAGTACTCCACCACTGAATACGAAGTGGCAAGAGCTGACGTCTGGAAAGTTGGAGCACGAGCACCCCATGACGAACTTGCCAGTTTGCTAAGATTGTTACGCATCTTAACTTTAGCTGCTGTCTTCTTCAGGTGGGCATGATTACTCAGTGTGCGGTCTAAGGTCACACCTAGAGAGACCAGTTCTACTTCATGCTTCTCCTTCTGACCATTCAGATAAACATTCAGTTCTCGGGTTGCACTGGCGTGATGAAGATGGAACAGACTGGAGACTGTTTTTATGACACTTGGCTGGAGGCTCCAAGTCTTACAGTAGTCAGCTAACTTTATCATGTCCAGGTTTAAGGTGGCATCAAGTTCGTGAAACATCCAGGCCTGGGTACCGCAACAGATGTCGTCTGCGTAAATGAACTTGCGTGACTCTGTTGTTGGCAGGTCATTGATGTAAAGGTTGAATAGGGCTGGAGAAAGCACAGAGCCCTGGGGTAACCCATTGCTCTGTCTTCTCCACCATATGGATGGGAGGAGACAACCGAGAGGATGAGCTTTACCTACTCCAGCCGCAAGTGTTGGAGTCTGCTCTGACGCCTTGGAACAGCGCAGCAGCCACCTGCACTCTGCCAACCCTCAGTGACACCCAACCAGGTAGCCGGACACCTACTTAAAGTGGCCAGAGCACCTTTGGAGTAACAGGTGCGAAAACAAGTGAGGAACAAATGGCATATGTTTAAACGTCTACACCAGATCAGAAGCTGCCCAGAACCATTCACTGTAACAGAGTAGCATCAAATGTGGAACAGCTGGGTAGCATCAAATGTGGAACAGCTGCAGGCTATGACAACATATCTCCAGAATTCCTGAAAAACCTTGGCCCCTGTGCTTGGCTTTCATTTGTGAAATTCTTCACCAGGGTCATCAGTGAAGGTAGGCTACCAAAGATATGGTGCACTGCAAAAATCATTGGCCTCTTAAAGCCTGGAAAGGACCCAAGTCAAGCATCAAGCTATCATCCTCAATCATTATTGTCGGTGTGCTTCAAGGCACTGGAGCGCTTGGTCCTACAGCGCATATTACCTGATGTGGAGAGAATTTTGAGCCCTGAACAAGCCGTTTTTTGCCGAGTCCATAACATATGTGACCAAGTACTTGTGCTGACCACATTTGTTGAAAATGGCTTCCAGATAAACTTGAAAACAGCCACTGTTTTCATTGATCTAACAGTGGCGTACAATACGGTATGGCACACTGGCCTGCTCGTGAAGGTATCATGGGTCCTGCTATCTTGAGTCATAGGCGTTGTTGAACTGTTCCTCCACAATAAGCTCCCTCTGGTGCCAGGGGCTAAGGGGGCAAGCAGTGGGGATGGGCACAGTCTGTGCCGGGGGGGACAGACAGCTGTAGGAATGGGCAGGAGAGGGACTGAGGGGTAAAATAAGGGAGGGGGCATAGGTGCAAGGTTTGAGGCACTGAGGGGGGCAGAGGGGAAACCCCGCACGGGGAGGGGCAGAGGAAGTAACAGTTTCCCCCAGGGCAGCGAGCCACCTGCAGTGTTTGCAAAAACAGGCAGGTTGTAGCCCCTGTCATTGGGCTGTCCCACTCAGCATCCGCCTCCCAGGGCTGGGGTTTGTGCATCCCAGTGCCTACACAAGGCATCTCTATCCTAGCCGGTGTGATGTATGGAGCTGCTAAAGGAGTCTTGAGTCAGTGAAACATTTTACACACACCCACAAAAAAATATCTGTATATCATGGAATCATAGAATATCAGGGTTGGAAGGGACCTCAGGAGATCATCTAGTCCAACCCCCTGCTCAAAGCAGGACCAATCCCCAACTAAATCATCCCAGCCAGGGCTTTGTCAAGCCTGACCTTAAAAACCTCTAGGGAAGGAGATTCCACCACCTCCCTAGGTAACCCATTCCAGTGCTTCACCACCCTCCCAGTGAAAAAGTTTTTCCTAATATCCAACCTAAACCTCCCCGACTGCAACTTGATATTCCTGTTCTGTCATCTGCTACCACTGAGAACAGTCTAGATCCATCCTCTTTGGAACCCCCTTTCAGGTAGTTGAAAGCAGCTATCGAATCCCCCCCCCCCATTCTTCCCTTCTGCAGACTAAATAATCCCAGTTCCCTCAGCCTCTCCTCATAAGTCATGTGCTCCAGCCCCCTAATCATTTTTGTTGCCCTGCGCTGTACTCTTTCCAATTTTTCCACATCCTTCTTGTAGTGTGGGGCCCAAAACTGGACACAGTACTCCAGATGAGGCCTCACCAATGTCGAATAGAGGGGAATGATCACATCCCTCGATCTGCTGGCAATGCTCCTACTTATACAGCCTAAAATGCCGTTAGCCTGCTTGGCAACAAGGGTACACTGTTGACTCATATCCAGCTTCTCATCCACTCTAACCCCTTGGTCCTTTTCTGCAGAACTGCTGCCTAGCCACTTGGTCCCTAGTCTGTAGCAGTGCATGGGATTCTTCCGTCCTAAGTGCAGGACTCTGCACTTGTCCTTGTTGAACCTCATCAGATTTCTTTTGTCTCGGTCCCTCTGTATCTTATCCCTACCCTCCAGCGTATCTACCACTCCTCCCAGTTTAGTGTCATCTGCAAACTTGCTGAGGGTGCAATCCATGCCATCCTCCAGAACATTAATGAAGATATTTAACAAAACTGGACCCAGGACCGACCCTTGGGGCACTCTGCCTGATACCGGCTGCCACCTAGACATAGAGCCGTTGATCACCACCCCTTGAGCCCGATGATCTAGCCAGCTTTCTATCCACCTTAAAGTCCATTCGTCCAGCCCATACTTCTTTAACTTGCTGGCAAGAATACTGTGGGAGACCTTATCAAAAACTTTGTTAAAGTCAAAGAATAATATGTCCACTGCTTTCCCTTCATCCACAGAGCCAGTTATCTCGTCATAGAAGGCAATTAGGTTAGTCAGGCATGACTTGCCCTTGGTGAATCCATGCTGACTGTTCCTGATCACTTTCCTCTCCTCTAAGTGCTTCAAAATTGATTCCTTGAGGACCTGCTCCATGATTTTTCCAGGGACTGAGGTGAGGCTGACTGGCCTGTAGTTCCCTGGATCCTCCTTCCCTTTTTTAAAGATGGGCACTACTTTAGCCTTTTCCCAGTCATCCGGGACCTCCCCCGATCGCCATGAGTTTTCAAAGATAATGGCCAATGGCTCTGCAGTCACATCCGCCAACTCCTTTAACACCCTCAGATGCAGTGCATCTGGCCCCATGGACTTGTGCTCCTCCAGCTTTTCTAAATAGTCCTGAACCACTTCTTTCTCCACAGAGGGCTGGTCACCTCCTCCCCATACTGTGCTGCCCAGTGCAGTAGTCTGGGAGGTGACCTTGTTTGTGAAGACAGAGGCAAAAAAAGCATTGAGTACATTCGCTTTTTCCACGTCCTCTGTCACTAGGTTGCCTCCCCCATTCAGTAAGAGGCCCACACTTTCCCTGACCTTCTTCTTGTTGCTAACATACCTGTAGAAACCCTTCTTGTTACACTTAACATCCCTTGCTAGCTGCAACTCCAAGTGTGATTTGGCCTTCCAGATTTCACTCCTGCACGCCTGAGCAATATTTTTATACTCCTCCCTCATCATTTGTCCAGTCTTCCACTTCTTGTAAGCTTCCTTTTTGTGTGTAAGATCAGCAAGGATTTCACTGTTAAGCCAAGCTGGTCGCCTGCCATATTTACTATGACAGCTGTGTTTCTATTATAACAATTCCTATGTTTTTACTAAAAAAAGAACAGGAGTACTTGTGGCACCTTAGAGACTAACAAATTTATTAGAGCATAAGCTTTCGTGGGCTACAGCCCACTTCTTCGGATGCGGGTACAGACTAACACGGCTGCTACTCTGAAACCTATGTTTTTACTGTGGTTTTTAATTTGGAATTTTTAATTCTAAATTTTTCTTCTTGTTATAGCACAGGTTTATTCTGATGGTCATGTGACTTCCGTTTTGACTGATTTCCTGGTCTGTTGTCAAAACTTCTTCATTTTAATTTGACCCACCAGTGGGGATTGCCTTTCTCAACTGTTGTTATGCTTCTCAATCCAGCTCTT